CTTAATGCATTCTTTAAGGCTGTTATCTAACAATTAAGATACTTTCACACAGGAAACTGTCTAGAATAACACCTCTTGCTTTGTAAGCTGCACTACTTGCCAGTTTGCTGCTGGGTGCAATTCAATGTCCTAGTCATTACCTATAAAGCCCTACATGGCATAGGGCCTGGTTACTTGAGGGACTGCCTGTCTCCCATAGTATCTGCCCAGCCAATTCAGTCTGGCATGTTTGGTGTACACCAGGTTCCTTTGATTAAACAATGCAATCTATTGGGGCCCTGGAAGTGCACCTTCTCTGTAGTAGGGCCTGCCTCTGGAATGAGGTTCCCCCTGAGATCTGGATGGTCCCCACCTTGCTGCTGTTTTGAAGGGCCTTGAAGACCTGGCTCTTGGCCCAGGCCTTTGATGAGGACGATTGAAACCCTCTTTGGGTTGTGTGGGTGTTTCTTTTTCGTTCCTGTCTGGTTTCGTCGTCTTTGCCATCTTCTACTCCTTTGTTTTTTATTATAGTATTTTTTCCTTGTTTTTAATGCTTTTTACTTGTGAACTACCAGAGTTGCTGGGAGTTGGGCAGTATATAAATTTCATAAAACAAATTAATCAATAAATACATTCAAAGCCTCGGTAAAACTTTGAAATGCTGCAGCTGTGAAGAGATGGGCTGGGCAGTCTTTCTCAGTTGGTAGGAACTCTTGCTTTCCCTTACCTCCTGATTTCTTGAGTGCAACACTTTTAGTGGATCTTTCAAAAGGAAGACACCTTGATGGCTTTGCAGCTTCCTCTCATAGGAACCACTTGGATTTTTTTTTTTTTTTGCATATGACCAGACAAATGCATAAGAGTTTATGTGAAAGCAATTTATTTTATTTCTCCATTGTGAAGTTGGCAGAAGAGCAGTACAGATCTTCTTCAAACTGCTTCTGAGGAAATGGTAGTGTGGCAGTGCCCTTAGGCCAATTTTGGTTTACTGAACAGTGAAATTCATTTTTCTTCTCTCCATGCAATGAAAGAAGCACTTTAAAAGATTATAGAGGTAATTTCCTAATTTTACATCTCTCTCTATTCCCATCCCCCACGATAGGTTTATCTGTACAGCAGGAGAAATCATCTCTTTGGAATATTGGATGTCTTGTTTCACCCTTAAATTTGTGGCAAACCATTTGCTGTTAATAAATTCCTATTACCTCTGCTGTCATGAAAATGATTTAATGGAATTTTTTGCTTGCTTCTTAATGTTTATTGCTGCAGAGTATCTCTATATCAGTTTTCTCAACCTCAGCAATTTAAGATGTGTGGACTTTAACATGCTGGCTGGGGAATTCTGGGAGTTAGAGACCACAGATCTTAAAGTTGCTGAGGAGAAACAGATTCTTCACAAAGTGTATTAAGAATAAATGAAACATTTGCCTTCCAAGTATTAATGTAGCTGTGTTCTTTGCAAGGCTTGCACACTTGTTTCAAAAGCTGCCTCCACTTTCTTGTATTTATGTACACCACCAATACTTCTGCTTGGACCCCTAATAAAGTGAAACAGCCATGCTGTACAAGCCTTGTAAAAGACACAACTTTAATGCTCCAGAGATGCTTCATTTGCACAAATGTACTTTACAAAGTAGTTCTTCTGAATATTTTATACAGCTTTTCTACACAAAAGAAACATCATTTTGGGTTAACATCGAATTTTAGTATTTCTGTTGCCTATATGTATACCTCAAACAAGTATCTTCTTGATGTAACATGATTTGGCTATTATGGCAGGAATTATGATAGTTACAGTCCACCCCTCAGGAACCAATGGTACAATCTTTTGAATTACTGTTATCTTTGATTAAACAAGTTAAACAAGTTTTTGAAGCACTAGCACAATCAACTTAATTGAAGAATGAGAAGAAAAAAATCAGAGGGTACATTCAAATTGAAAGTGCATTAAATTGCTGCAAGGACAAAATTTTCAAATGTTTTGTATTTTTTTTCTTAAAAATTTAACAGAAATAATGACCCCCAAATGTAAAAACACAGCAGGCAAGGTGGATGGACTCAATTAGAGTGATGATGAGTACACCATTGGGAGACTTGAAAGAACACGTTAGGAATAGACTATCATGGAGAAAATCTATCTAAGTGGTTGCTAGGAGTCAAAAATGACTTGATGGCACATAATCAATCAAAATGTGAAAACAACTGTACTGTGATTGGAATCCCTGTTTCAAATCCTTAGTATTTTGCATTGTAGATTCCACAAACTAAGTTGGCAGCAAGCTTTTGTAGCAATGAAATCCTTCAATGGCATGACCTGTTTACATGTACAGGGTTCTCATGTTTGCCATAATCTGAGACTCTGGTTCGGTTGTGTGAGGGCTTTTTTTTTTTAAATGTGAACTGCTTCTATCAGAAACTCATTGCTTCAACTGCTTAAGGTCAAGTCCAGCAGTGAAAAATCATTCAGTCCGGAGTTCTGTTGCCAATTTGTTAACGAGGAATCTCTAGTCACAGAAGCAGAGGGAGGGGTATGAGAACATATGTTATTGCTGGTCCAGGAAGACAAAGACATTCTTTTGCTTTCTCTTTCCTGCTGTTCATCTGGAATTATGTAAGTCAAAAAGTATTACTGTACAGACTTATTCTATAAATAACATGTTAAATCATTGTATGCTAGCAGCAATTCTGAGATACTTAGGGCTGTCAGTCCCTGTCAACACAAAAAGGTAGCTATTTTTCTGTTAATATCCAGCAATTCTGCTCAAAATCCAAGGCTGTTGATAAATGTCATATACCTCATTTTACTGAAATAAAAATTAATCACATCAATCCTTAAACAGATATCATACTGACTATATGATTACATCCCAGATAAGCCATTTACAGACTATGAAAGGATAGTAAGGTAAAACAAATCTGAACAAATACATCTTAATTTCACTTCATTGGAAAAGAGGAAAAACAAACTCTCAAGATAGCTGTTATAGTTTCAAATATCTTGAGACAACAGTGGCAAAACCCTTGAAATAGTTAAGAAAAAAGAATGTTGACCATGTAATTAAGAAACTAAAATGAGAATTTAGGATACAAAATATTTTCAATTTACCATGGCTACAGAATATTGCTGCAGCTAAAATTATTTCTCACCCAAAGTACTCATTTTTATTCCATTAGTGATATTCCCAGATTTGATGATAAAATGGGAAACACTGTTTAATTCTTTCATTAATTGGGATAAGGGTGCATACAGCAGAAGCTACAGTACTTGCATCAAATGAAAAGGTATACACTTTCCAAATGTAAAGATATATATTATGATGTTATGTTAAACAGTACCGCTACTTCATTAGTCACTTTCTTGGATAATATCTATTTCTTGGAAATTATTATTTTACATTGAAAGTAAACGTTTGGGGTCACCAAAGTAAAAACTTTTCCCCATCCTTTTTCAAGTCATCAGATCAGAAATGAAGGACCTGTGGCCATCCAGATGTTGCTCAGTTTCAATACCCGTTGGTCCCAGCTGACATAGCAAAGGAGAAGGTGTCTGGAATTCTAGCTTATATTTTTCCACTCTTAATTTAGACACTGAGAAATGAATATTAAAAGAGGTGGTAAGTTGGGGTCAATTTTCCTCTGAGAGGATAATAAGAATTATTGTAGGTTTCACAGGTACTTATAGCAAAATCTTAACACAGGAGCAGATTAAGAAATTTTCATTTTAAGTGAAAATAAAAGGGGTGGTTTTCATTTTTTACATTGGCTTAAAAACTAACAAAAATATGCCTAACAACCAACTCCCAATACATTTATCTTTATTTTCCTTACAAATCAGAGATCCAGGAAGCTCATCAACACCACGTGGCTTTTATGGAATAATGGCTGCATTGTATTAGCCAAATTATCCATTGCTGTATTATGTTTCATTGATCCTTGATACATCAGCCTGGTCTTAAATCATTCACCAGTTCTTCACTATAATTTTCTCTGGGCAAGGAATAGGACCTTGCAGCAGTGAGGGCATGCTGTGCTGAATTCTGTTTACATGTTGTTTAACCTTTGTTTATAGCCTCCAAGCCTTCATAAAAATAACCACGGTGATGTCACTTAACCAAACTGCCACAACTCTGAATGCAATCTGAAGCATAAGTGGGACCCAGGGAGCTACTGCGACTTGCTCTGCTGCAGACTCTTGAGGAAGATGCTCTGGCTCCAGAACATCACCTCTGAACACCGATTCGAGTGCAGCGCCTCCTGCAGCGCCTATCCCTGCTGCTCTGAGCGGATGACCTCACAACTTCCTGCATCTGGAGCCCGAGTTCAGCCTGGAACAAACAATCGCATAGGGAGACTTCTAGGCTTGGTCCTCCAGATGTTCTGCTAAACTCCCCACCATCCTCAGCTAGCACGGGCTTGCCTGCGACGATTATGAATGTTGGGAGTCGCAGCACGGCGTAACAAGGATGGCTGTGGACGATGGAAGGTGTAGCTCTACCCCATGTAGGGAGTCCCAAGCTGGGTAAGGCTACGCTCGGTCTGTAAAGTCTGGGTGCTCTGCCTCTCCCCCAAGCTCCGAGGAAACGTTAGCTGGGTCCCCTTTCTCCCTAAGGGGGGTTAGCATGAGCGCCTCGCCCTCCCCTCCCCCAGGGCGCGCTAACTATTCTGTTGGGAATACTTCTGGAACCCGTCCAGTCCCGCCGGAAATGGCTGCGAGACCCGGCCATCTTTACAAAGGGCAGAGGAGACCGAGCGACACGGATGTTATTTCTCTTGATGGAGTGGTAGCGGAAACGGATGCGAGCGGGCCGTCTGGCTTCCGGTGGTCTGGCCCCTTGTCTTGGTTCAGAAGAAGGGAATTGGCCGACTTCGAGGGAGAGAACATGGTGAGCGGACAGGCAGCCCGGCTGCACTTCGGTCTCATCTCGTCCTATGAGAACGGGGCCATTTTATGGCAGGGATGTTGGTCGAAGGGAAGCGGGATCCCGGGAGTGGAAGAGGAATGGCAGCTTGGGGCAGGCAGAGTGTTCCGGAGTCTCTTCCGAGTTTTTCCATTAATGAGACCACTCAGTGGGTTGGCAAACGGTAGAGACTGGGCTCCGAGCTTTGCAAAGAAAATGTGTCAGATCTGTGGATGAGGCAAGACGTGCCTCTTTTGCTATCAACAAATCTTTAAAGCTTCAGGGTAAAGAGAAGTTTTCAAGCCTTTTTTCCCCAGCCTCTTTTTTTGGGCGGGGGGGAGTGGGGCTCCACAGTTGGGCTTCCTTGAAATTTCACTGATGGCTTATCTCATGTTTCATTCAAGGATAAGATCTCATGATGTCCATTTACTCCTAATAAATGTGCATAAGATTGTCTGTTACCTGATTCAAGTACTTGAAATAGTGCAATTTAAGATTAGAAATTCCTATTGTTAGCTTCTTATAGTGTTCATATGTCATAATTTATTCTTTCTGTTTTTTTTTTCCTGGAATTCAGGATGAATTTTCTGATCCTGATTTGGCAGTTTTGGGTGAGGAATCGAAATCTGAGAATGGAGAGAATGCTCCTGTCTACTGCATCTGTCGCAAACCTGATATCAATTGTTTCATGATGTGAGTATTGTTGGAAGAAATAAAAGAACTTGGTAATGGGAGTTCCTTCACACATTACGAGGTTGCCCTGGGGATGACATCCAATGAAAAAACCTTTTGCCAGTATGATATGTGCTGGTTTATCTCTGCAAGTTCTTCTGAGATATATTCTTTTTTAAAATCAATACTTTTAATTATTATAAAACTTAAAAAACTTTGTTCAGTCTGTAGAATACTTTTCAACATAAAAACACTAATAGCACATTAAAAGGGGAAGATGAAAAGGGGAAGATGAAAAGGTTAAGGGAGAAGGGGTTCTGTGAAGGGTACAGTAAAAAGGAATAATAAAAAGACAGGATATTATTATCCTATTGAGTGAAGTAGTTGTGAGGGCAAATTACCCACGTTTACTAAAATTTAGATCCCACAAACCAAATATTAGAAAAATTAGAAAATAATTAGAAAAATACTAGTCACAGTTTAGGTTGACTCAGTCTTAAACATATATCTAGAAGTTAAAGCCTTTAAAAGCTCTGAAAGCATAATTAGATGATGCCTGGGGCATACAGAACGTTGATACTGAAGAAGCTATTTCTGTCTGGAAAATTGAAGGAATATAATTCAATAGCAAGCGAAC